GTATATATATATATATATATATATATTTTTTTTTTATTGATTTTATGTTTATACAACTCCTGTAATACAGTATCTTCTTTTCATTAGGCTAGGACGGTGGAGGAGAAAAAATTATGGGCTCATCATATTAAACGGCTCATTCTAGAGAATCATCAGGCTGTGATACCACAAAAGGTATGTAATGAATAAAAAACTATTACTAGGTTTTGTATTTAAAAATATCTCAAATTAATTTGGACAGACAATTATTTGGTGTTTCTCTTTTAGGCAAAGGAAGCAATCTTGGAGATGGATTCTATTTGTAAATATTTCCAACCACTCATGAACATATTTCATACAATTATTTTTTAATTATGTAAAAAAATTGTCTTGGGCCTGCTTTTGACGGCAACTTTTTTTCAGACAAAAAGTATAGGTACAGCCCTGAGAGACTCAAAAAGGCTGTGTCATGCCAGTCAGAGGACTTTTCTAACTCTAGACAAGGCCGGAGACAGTCAGGTAGGTTCCCAATGTCTTGCTCTTAACTTATTAACTAATTTTTTTAAACTGACCTTTTCCAATTTCACAAAGATGGTCTACTACTTCATCTTCCAACAGAACCATCTGAAGAGATCCTAAAGAACACTGAAGGTAAATCTCTATGTGTCCATTCTGTTTCAACTTTAAGTAAAGATATTGTCTGATGTTTTAAATAAAAAGGTCATAAGTCTTAGCTGCTGGCGTGTAATAATGATACAGTAAATTTTTCATTCTCTTTTGTAGTAAGACATTTAAATGTTATTATTAACTTAATTTTAATTTAAGCAGAATGTTTAACTGGAAACTTAAACAAAAAAATCTGAATGTCTGAAATCTGAAAGTGAAAACAAAAAATTCTACAAAAAAGAAAATAATGTTTCTGGACCCCACTGTATACCATTTGTATTTCACACGTTTCACAGAAATGGTTTGGAACAAAATTATAAACATTGTTGATAAAAATGTATCCTGTACAAAATAATCTGCCTTCAAATTTACTAACAATCTTTTTCTTTTATCTGGCTGATCTGCTGTCTGGCTGAATTCTTCAGTAATACTAAAGGTAAGAAGCCATTAAATCAACCAAAGGAATATTTAAAATTCAGTTACATGTGGTTACTATACAAAACCACAAAGACAATATATAAAAACCCACAAAGAAATAATTGAAGCCACACATTTGTTAATATAAAGAAATAATAGAAACCACACATTTGTTAATATAAGATGACAAGCAGAAGTGTACAAATTATGTTATTTTTATTTGATGTGTTGTTTATTTTGTGATCCACAAGACTGTTGAAGTGCTGAAGACGGGTGGGTAAAAGTACAAATAAAATACAATACTCAAGGAGTAGTAAAAGTAATCATTTTAATAAGGTAAGAGTAAAAAAAGAGAAAGTTCACTCGGGTGGTGAGTTAATAATCTGATTAGGAGCAAGCAAGATAATAATGATGAACTGATCATGGTGAAGTCAATTACATGTATGACACAAAGGATGTGTCAAAATATTGGAACATTGCCCAATGCAAAGGCCCGTTCACACCAAGGACAATAAATATAACAATAACTAAATTAGTTTTAATAATGTTTCTAATTCTATGAAAATAGGGAACTCCACGCCACAACTATGTCAATAACAAGGAGGAACAATATCAGTGGAATTATTTGAAGCTGGTGAATGATAAAAACAGTGACGGCCAATCAGAATTTAACCCTGCTTTAAAGAACTTGAGCTTTAAAAGAGCATTATCGATCTTGGTGTGAATGGGCCTTAAAGTGAAAGCACCTACTTTAAAAAATACATTTTTTAAAAAGTTACTTGAGTAAATGTATCGGAGTAAATGTAGCATGTTACTACCCGTATCTGTGTTTAGAGTGAGGTCAAAGAGATAATCTTTTTTTCTTGGTTTGGGTCATGTCCTTATATCTCTTAAGAAGAAATCTTTGTGACTTCATGCCCCAGCATTCTGACAGTGAGGGGGCATTGGACGTTGACAGGTGGCCTTTACAAGCCTCTGCCAGCATAAGCACTCATGGCTTATGTGAGTCTTCAGCTGAGAAGCCTGTTGCACAAGAAGAATACTCTCCTGAAGCCCTGATTCCCAGTGATAATGAGGAGCCCATCCATAGCTCGCCGTCTCTGAAGGCCAGATTAATGCAAGAGGATGGGGATGAAGCAGAAGGAGAGGGAAGTGACTCTGACGATATTCTAATGGAGGACAACCAGGTAGCTGACTTTGCCAGTTCAATGTTGGCTGCCATTTCCTGCTGGCACTATAGAGCCAGAGCTTTGCTTTCCATGGACTTCACAACGGTGAGGTTCTCTGCCACCAAGGGGATTCTATCATACCCCAACCTGATCTGCAACATGACATGCATGTCTGCCAAACCTCCCGCCATGTTGCATGTGCTCTCACAGAATGCCTCAATTCACTAACAGCTAACAATGCATAAGCAGAAGCTAACTTTGTAGAGCATCCCGCAATGATAGAAGAACTAAACAAATTGTAACAAGTAGTTACCTTTTTACAGTTCATCACATTATGCATATACAGTACTAATGATTACATTTACTGTATTGCTGAATTTCACTCTATTGACATCTAGCAACAGTGTTATGATTGTTATATGATAAACATTGATAAATGTTCACTCTTTTTTTATTGTTTCAGATTTTTCTCTGCATTCAAAACAGTAATAATAGCTTTATTGAAGAGCAGGATTTTGACTTGTAGAGAATGTTGGTTCTCAAATTTTTAAGAACATCAAAAAACAAAACTGACACTAAAGTGTTTAATTTCTTGATCCAGCAAAACATTATCAAACATGGATCAAATAGTTCACTTCGAATTTCCTTTTCATACTCCACTCTCAGTTTACTTGCATAAGCAACTTTAATCGTACTGCATGTTCGTAGGAGGATCACTTTTTGAATTTAATAAGGGTCAAAACTCACAAGCATGTATAAAACATTTCACCATGTTTTATTATTTCCCTTGTAAAAGCAATGCTTTTTAGTGCTGGTCTCCCCAGTTCAATCCAAACTGTTTATCTCTCTGTAACTATAAAGAGAAAAGTTGTGGGGGTTTTTTTGTGGGGGGGTTTTTTGATGATGATGATGTGCATCTTCCAAATACAATTTGTTTTAATTTTTAAAGTCAAGAACGATCATTTCCTCTTCTTTCTAGAATACTGCAATCATGTTATCAAACTCAAAAATATTTAATGTGACCATACATCAAAGGAAAAAAAATTTATGGGTTAGATCAAATAGAACTAGATCCTTGAAATAATTTCAGGTTAACCCTTTATTTATTTATTCGTGCATGCTGTACCACTCTGGCCACTGCATTCAAAATTTCCTTGAGGCTCCACTGGTAACACCATGTCTAACCAGGCATGATAATTCTAGTGACAAATAATTTTGTCTATGCACATTTAACATGTAAATAGAATGCGATGTGACACTGTCAGATCTGTTCTTTCTGTTTGCAAGTACTATGATACAGAATAACACACTAATGCAACTGAGGAACGTACAGCTAAAGAACATGTACCTTGACAATATTATGACTAATGTGAGGCTTCACCAGAAATTATATATATTTTTGTCTCAATTGTTTGATTGGGTTGAAAGCTTTCAGGATTTGCATGAAAATCTGATGATCTTTTGGGTCATATTAATGCAGAAATATAGAAAATTCTAAAGGGTTTACAAACTTTCAAGCAGCACTGTACATGAGTGTTACTTCATGTTCAGTGAGATTTGAGTGTGTGTGTGTGTGTGTGGCTCTAGGACAAAAACTCTTTAAAATGTATGAGATACCTTTTATTGCATGTTGCTTTATTTTGTTGTCTGGTTAGGACATGGTGAGCACTCGCTTTCCATATCATATCCCAGTTTACATAATTGTTTCAAAAGTTCAATGTTGATTTTAATTCAAACATGTTAACTAAGATGTGTATGTAATAACAGTTGTTCTATTCATCACATTAACATAACTCTTAACTATTAGTTAACTTGCATTAACTAATAAAACTGCAGTACTATCAGTTCTGTTAAGATCTGTTATTTTGAAAGTACTTCTGAACTAATGACCAAGCCCAGATGGAATCTGTGTGCACAGAATTATTCAGAAAGCTCCACAGATTTTCACATCATTCACAAAGTTCTACATATTCTCCACCCTTTGTGTGTTCATTAATTTTTCTTACCTAATTTGATTGTGCTTTCACCCATCAATAAAACTGCAGTCCTGTTTACCACATTTAGTTAGAAATGTCATTTAAACATTTTGAACATTAACACATTTTTAATAAATGTTATCAGCATGGAAAAAGTCTGCTGATTTCATCTGGGCTTTGCTAATGAACTTAATCTAAAGGTATCTGAATAATTGTTATACTATTTGATACTATTTGATATTGCTTATATAACACTGTAAATATTCTTAGGCATTTATTTAAAGTTAATTGTTTTTGTCAAACATCCCTAAATAAAAAAAAAACATGTTTTTATCTTAGGATGAAGTGGGGTGTGAGGACACTGGGAACAATTTTAAACAAGAAAATGGCCCATCAGTTGAACAGGTGGAGGCATATTTTATGAATGAAAAATATATCTCGGAACAGGTGAGTTGTTTAATTAAAATTGTTTCATTTATTATGCTATTATAATTGTATTAGTGTTAGTACTTTACCCCTAGGACTAAAATTCTACTTACTGATTGTAAGTTGCTTTAGTAAGTAACAGGTTATCTAACCAATGTTTTGAACTTTGATATATGTATTGTACCATGAGGTTGTTGGCAATACCCAGCTGTATTTGAAACAAACCCAGAGATCAACGAAATTAGCTTATAACTGTATCTTGATTTTCCCTTCTTACACTCAAGGACAAATCACAAAACCTGGAAATAACCTCTTACTGGGGTTCCACTGAGAAATTGAAGCCAGATGTGTTTTGTGATCCAGAGTCCATAGAGATGGACAAACAGGTCCCAAATATTCAGGATCTCGAGTCTGCAAGAGACAAAGATGATCGGAAAGGTTCTAAAGAAGAGGCCTCATCTCTGTTACAGCAGGAAGACACTCCTGGTGATTCTTCAGAGGAAGAGGAGGATGTAGAAGAGAAACCAGACTCCACTAGCATCCTACCATCATCTGTGCTTGATAAGGCCAGCACCATTGCTGAACACTTTGTCTGTAGTGCACGGCGTAGTAGCATCAGCCCAGATGAAATGCGCTCCCTTGGTTGCGTATCTCCACATCTACCCAGCAGGACCGGGAGCTCTCTAAGTCTAGGAGATGCCCATGAGCGTCAGCATCACCTTGCTACCACCTGCTCTGAGTCACATGGAATACCACTGACCCAGGAAGCCCTTGCATCAGCAAACTTCATGATCGGGTCATCAGGGGAGGACAGTCTTTTTGACTCAGATCGAAGCATCTACAGAAGAAGGGATTCAGTGCTTTCCAGGCAAGACAAACTACTCATTGACAAGATTAGGAGCTACTATGAGAATGCAGAACACCAGGATGCTACATTTAGCCTAAAGCGTAGAGAGAGCCTCACTTACATTCCAAGTGGGCTTGTTAGAAATTCTGTTAGTCGTTTTAACATCATTCCTAAAGATAAAGGCCTTGCCCTAGAGAAGACCGCCAGTACATCTGGACCTGTTAAAGCTCATACCACACTCACAGAATCTCTCTTGCTTACATCGGCTCTATCAGAGACCAATGCAAATCCAGCCTCCCTGGAACAACCTGTTATCAGTGCTTACACAGATTTTACTAGGCATGACGAAAACGGAGACCTGTTTGACTCTGATGTAGATAGTTCCATTAAACCTCAGTCTATAGATGGGAGTCATGAGGAAGAGGTTTTCCGTCCCTCCTCTGAGATGATCAAAGTCTGGCAAGATATGGAGAAAGAGGTCACTAGATGTCAAGGGGACTTCAAAGAACTGAGGCCCAGAGAAAGTCCTTATTTTAGAGGGACCAGTCCCAGCCTCTCCAGGAAGGATCCAAGCCAGAGAAGAAAGACAGAAGCCAAAGGCTGCGATGGATTGATTATATTTGAAGATTTAGACCTGAGCACTATCAGAGAGGAGTCCTCTACACCATTACCTTTTAAGGAGAAGGAAAACTGTGCAACCAGTGAGAATGATGTCATCAGACCCAGACAATGGGAGGATGAAGGAAGACCCCTTAGAGCTCTAGCCTCCCGAGTTATCCAGTTGAGAGCAGAAACTGAAGAGGATAGAGAAACAGGAAATCAGTCAGCTGAAGATGCAGATTCATCCCAAAACAAAGTTTTCAGTCTTGCAAGGAAATACAGTCAACGCTTTAAGTACACACAACCAATGTTGAGACAGAGGAGTCAGGAGTCAGGAGATACATGGTTGGCTAAGAGGAACCTGCTTTCGGTGTTGGAAGAAAAGCCAGAGAAGGAGACCAAAGGTAACATGAATACTATTTGACTATTATCATATCTTTATGATAAAAAAGTTAAATGATATGAAACAGCATTTTCAACTAATTTTATTTCCATAACACAACATATTTCAACATTCATTGATTGGACTGTGACAAGTTAGTGTCCCATGCCACAATGGAGCTAACTACAGTATAAGCAACTGGGACTGATATAACCTTAAATTCTGCTTGTCATATGTGGTTGACATCTATTTTTCAAAATATTTCTTCAAATTTTAATTAGTTGCAGAAATTCTGCTTTGTGTTATTACATTTTTAATATTTTGTATATTCAAACATAACATTATCTTATGTTTCGCTGCTCCACTTACATTTGGCATTTTGATTAACAGGTCAAGCAGACTTGATGCTCTCCATCGCTCCATATGACCAGCCTGATTACGATGGGGATCAAAAGGCCCAGATTATGACTCCCAGCCCAGACTACACTTCTAATTCTGTCAGTAGCCCAAAGGTCTTGTCCCCACACCTGTCCCATTGCAGGAGTCCTCTTAGTCCACCACCTGAGAGCTTCAACTGGCCAGACGTTCGTGAGCTTTGTTCAAAATATGCACACCTCGGAAGCTCGTCTGCTCAGCCACCAGTAGGCCAAAGTCATTCTGTGGAAGAAAGGATGTTTGACGGCAGTTCTAGAAGACATTCTAGCTGCTCTTCTAGCCGCTTAGTCGCCTCTAATGGTTCCACAGACTCTTCAGTTTACAAGTTTTATCCAGGAAGGGATACAGGAGAATTGCTGACTCAGACCCAGCGTGCAGGTTCTCTGGACCAAAAATTGAGTAGTTTGTACTTGAGTGATCTGCATAGTCTTCAGAGTAAAAATGCCAGCAGTGGCTTCTTTATCTCCGCTCAAGCTACCCTTTCAAATGAGGAGAATATAATTGTGGTTGAGAAAGTACCTGAGGTTACACCGCCAGTAGAGATGGACCAGCCTACACAAGAGTGCAAGAAACAGGAAATAACAACAGATGGAACAGATGACCGCTACGTCCAAATTCGTTCGCCAACATCTCGTGAGAAGATCTCAATCATGGCTGTCATTGACCGCTGTCGGGCATATCAGGAGTCAGAGGAATACCGTTTGAGGGAAGATGGAGGATCTAAGACAGAACAGTTACCTAAGATTGAGAGGTGCAAAAAAATTGAGAAAGCTTCATCCTATAGTGAACACTTAGACAATGCTGTTAAAAATGCACTGGATTCTGACAAAAAGGCTGATTCTAGTCAACACAGTGTTGTCAAGAATCTCCGAGAAAAATTCCAAAACATAAGATAAAATCACTTGTTTTAAGGTACATCTATTGTATGTTTCGGAAATTTCAGAAAATTGAAAATTGGCTGTGAAATACTTGCTTCTTTAATTTCTCTCTTCTTTTATGTTTTCAACACTGAAGACAAATATGTATGGGCAGCACATATCATGCTGAAGTCACCTCTAATGGCTCCACAGACTGTTCAGTTAACAGCTTTTATCCAGGAAGGATAAAACAGAAATCTTCTGGCAAATTGAAACCTCAAAACTAATATTCTTTACATTTTGCATGCTATTTTACTGGTATTTTGCACACTGTATGATCATGTAGCCTACTGATATTGAGAAACCTGTGGATTTTTAATGGTCTGAATGTCAGGCAGAAAGTGTAAATATTGTTGTACATTTTTTGTTGTACATGCATTCTTTCTGTTGTACCATTTACATACTTGATATAGTAGATATACATATATGTATTTGGTAGTCATTTTACATAAATGACATACTTGTTTATAAATATTTATACATTTTGGGTAAGGTATTTCAATGAATGTCATATTTGATCTAAAGATTTCTTTAGCAAGGGATAAAGTCTAGTCTATACTACAAAATAAGCCCTGGCAGAGTAGTGTAATTCAGTTAAAAGTAAAATAATCATTTTCAAGTGGTCTGTTACATTTAGAGTTTAGCTGAAAGACATTTTCGTTTTTTTAGTAGATGTCAGGCATGGGACAAAGGGTTTTTTCCTTTGTACCTAAACCTAGTCTTTGATTAATGGATTTAGGCATAGATGCCCTTTGTCCAGGAGACTGGATCCAAATGTTTAAAAATTATGGTTTTAATGATTTTCTTAAGCTTTCACCAATGATGTTACTTAAGCTTATTTTAAGATTTGTTGTGGTCTTCACAACAAATCAGATTTAACATCAGGTTTTGGGGAATGTCAAAGTTACAAGATAAATATTAACCCTACATGTTTTAGCATCTGAAACACTGTTGGTTTAGCAGCCCATGATAACAGATCTCTCACTGATCACTGCGTCTCTCTCATTATTTATTAAGATTCTATAGATTCTATAGATAGTGTTGTTTTATCTAATGCATCTCTTATATAGTCAAACCAACAGCATTTATGACTCCTTTTAATACCATTTATCTGTCATCCTCTCAGGCTGTTACAAGACTTTGTTAATACAGTTTTATTAACTGATTTTGGGTATCAGACAAGACTTGAATAACGCATTTGTATACCAGACAAAACAGATGTCTTCTGATGGGATATGGTAAACAAGATATATTTAAGAAGAACTTTAGTTTGAAACTATTTAATTAAAATACATTCTATTATTTTTTTAATACTTAAATTTTAAGTAGTCTCCAGGGGTTTCATTTATGAAATGTTGCGCATTTGATGTGAAATGTGCTTAGAGTACAACAGGCACACCTTAAGAAAAATTTGCTTTTCACTACTCCCATAGTATATGATTGCAGAACAATATGTTTTAATAATAGAGAACAGAATGTGTAAAAAAACAAATTCATAAAAGTGGTTTGTTTTGTTTAAACATCTTTTAAATGTGTGAGGTGGCAAGGTGGTCCTTTTCATACAAATGCTTTAGCTAAAGTAATATGTATATATATATATATATATATATATATATATAGCATTAAGCTAACTGAGACTTGTTATAGCACTTGCATATCATTGCTCTTTTGTTGATTTTGATTGCTTCCATTGTCCTCATTTGTAAGTCGCTTTGGATAAAAGCATCTGCTAAATGTAAATGTGTATATATATATACAGTTATGCACAAAATTATTCATACCCTTGGTAAATCTCATTATGAAATAAATGTTTTTCTCTAATACACATTGGTCACAATGAATCATACCCTTTTATTCAATACTTTTTGCATCACCCTTTTGCCAAGATAACAGCTCTGAATCTCTCCTATAATGCCTGAAGAGTTTAGAGAACATCTGACAGGAGATCAGAGACCATTCCTTCATCCAGAATCTCTCCAGACCCTTCAGATTTCCAGCTGCATGTTGATGCTTCTCCTCTTCAGTTCACCACACTCATTTTCTATAGGGTCCACATCAGGGACCTGGGTTGGCCAGGGCAGAAGCTTGGTTTTGTTCTCAGTGACCCATTTTTGTTTTGATTTTGATGTTTGTTTGTTGGGTTTTTTGGATCATTGTCCTGATGGGTAATCCAACCATGGCCCATTATAAGATTTCTAGCATGGACAGTCAGTTTT